TAGGTACTTAAAATTGTTTATGTTGCTATTGCCTCTTTCTAGTGCAATGATTAACTATGTGTTCCTTTATTACTATGTTCATTTGTATTTTAAAAACATGAGAAACTGAGAATGGTCTTAAGCCATATGATTGAAATAACTAGCCAGAGAAGTCTCTGTGTGCCTGTTTCTTCTGCAATATCAGATTAAAAGAAAGCTCAATAACCACCGAACCTAACCCATTGAAGTAGGCAGTAATCTAGCTTCTGCTTTAATATTCACAGTGTCAAGAATGTCAATTCAATGCAGCTTCTCCCGTTGTAGTTTTGTCCCATTGTTTTAGTTTTAATTATTAGAAAGTTTGTCTCTATATAGTGCAGAAATCTATTTTCCTGTAATTTGGGTCCACTTGGGGTAATGCTGCCCTTTCCTGCCAGACCAAATAATAAATTCACTCCTTTTTCCATAAAATTACTTGCAGACAGTTATTATGGTCCCCTGAGATTTCTGTTTTATGGGCAAAATTTCTTCAACCATGCTTCAGATGACACGATTTAAATCTACTCACGAACCTGGTTGATTTTCTTTGGTTTTACTGTAGTTTGTCCGGTAACAAATGGTGCCCAAAACTGAAGCAAAAACCAGTGAATTATCTCCTTTATATTTCTCTTGATGCCAGTAGAAACAGGGTTCTTAGTTGAATGTGACAAATCCTAGCTGCTTTAAGCATAGAAGAAATGTATTGAAAGCCTGTTATGTTACATAGCTCAGGGAATAGCTAAAGAACCAAGCTTAGGAAAAAGTGCAGGAACCAAGAGAGGCGAGAAATTTATAGTTTCAGCTAAAATCACACCTTAAAATGAATCTGAGGAGGCCACCACTGCCAGACACTAGATACTGTGATTTGCAACACTGCCATTGCTGCCTCAAGAAACTGGCTTTTGCTGTTGCCACTGCTGTTGCCAGAATCAGAATGAATTCCACACTGCCCCTGCTTCTTTTCGTTTTGTTTTGTTTTGTTTTGTTTTGTTTTGTTTGAGACAGGGTCTTGCTCTGTCTCTCAGATTGGAGTGCAATGGCAAGATAATGGCTCACTGCAACCTCTGCCTCCCCGGCTCAAGCGATCCTCCCACCTCAACCTCTGGTGTAGCTGGAACCACAGATACACACCATTATGCCCGGCTAATTTTTGAAAATTTTTTGTAGAGACGGGGTCTCACCTTGTTGTTACTTTGTTGGCTGACCTCGAACTCCAGGGCTCAAGGGATCCTCCCGCCTCAATCTCTCAAAGGGCTGAGATTACAGTCTTGCGCCACGCCAAGACTGATGTTTTAAAGGGCTCACTTTGATTTCTGTGTGGTTTTGCAAGTCTGTCCCTAGATGCTAGATTTGTGCTCAGGCTCTTTGAATTTGAGAGGACCTATATGAATGAAAGCAAAGAAGTCCAACTAAGAGAAGTGAAAGTTACGCAAGATCAAATTAATCAAATAACAAGCAATCTCAAGCAAAGCATGATGTCTTTCAAAGTTATCTCCTGGCCCCATCTCTACTATGGCTCAATTCTGAAACCTAGGAAGAAAGGAAATGTATTATTTCCTTACTCCCTTTTCTTTATTTTTATTTATTTATTTCAGACAGAGCCTGGCTCTGACACTCGGGCTGGAGTGTGGTGATGCCATCTCAGTTCACTACCATCTCTGCCTCCCGGGTTCAAGCAATTCTCTTGCCTCAGCTTCCCAAGTAGCTGGGATTACAGGTACATGACACCGTGTCCAGCTAAGGTTTGTATTTTTAGTACAGATGGGGTTTCACGATGTTGGTCAGGCTGGTATGGAACTCCTGACCTCAAGCGATCCGCCTGTCTCAGCTTCCCAAAGTGCTGGGATTACAGGTGTGAACCACTGTGCTGGCCTCCCTTTACTTCATTTTTAATGTGCCTCTGTTTGCTAGTTCCTTTCGCATGACCTATAACCATCTCTTCCATCAAAAAAAAAAAAAAAAAAAAAACACCCTATGCTGCCTTGGGTAAAGGTAGAAGTTACAAGCCTGATTTTTAGAGCCAGACTGCATGGGTTTGAATGTAATTCCAACATTTACTACCTCTGTGTCCTTGGGAAATTTTGTAAATGTCTCTGTGCCTTCATATCCTTGCCTGTAAAAAGGAGATAATACTATTTCCCATGGGGTTATTGTGAAGACTACATTATTGAATATTTGCAAATCTCTCAGAACGATGCCTGGCAGATAATAAATGCCATATGTGTTTGTTAAATAAAAATTAGTTATTTTTCAGGTTATATCCTGCTATAACTCTGCTGAAAGTAGGAACGAAACCTCATAATTACTAAATTTAATGAATTAGTCAGTGCTTAACTCATTTGACCTTCTATCAACCTTGACAAGATGGACCCATTGGTTCCTCCTGGAGTTCTCCCTTAATAAATGAATACCTCTTTCCTGGTTCTACCCATATCTCTCTGATTCTTTTTTTTTTTTTTTTTTTCTGAGATGTAGTTTTGCTCTAGTTGCACAGGCTGGAGTGCAATGGCACATGATGTCGGCTCACTGCAACCTCCACCTCCCAGGTTCAAGTGATTCTCCTGACTCAGCCTCCTGAGTAGCTGGGATTACAGGCATGCACCACTACGCCCGGCTAATTATTGTATTTTTAGTAAAGACCAGGTTTCACCATGTTGGTCAGACTGGTCTGGAACTCCTGACCTTAGGTGATCTACCCGCCTTGGCCTCCCAAAGTGCTGGGATTACAGGCGTGAGCCACTGCACCTGGCCCTCTCTGATATTTTCTACTCTATGTTCTTCTTAATTTTCTTGGAGTTCTATCTTTGATCCTCTTTCATCCTCACATCATAACTGACAGAAAAATAAATCTGACAGAAAAAAAGCCCCAAACCATTAGCATAATATATTTTAAAAGTCACTCCACTAATCTCTGTTGATCTCTTTAAACTCATCTCTCAATACCCACCACACGTAATTAATAGATCTTTCCAGAGTGTGTTAGTAGTGCTGCTTCCTCTGCCAAGAAATACCATTCCCAGCCCTACAATTATTCCCTAATATTTCAGGATTTAAATACTTTTTTCTTGATTCCTTAGGTGAATTTTCTCCTTTGAACCCCAAATACATTTTGTGCATACCTGTGTCTGAGAACCTAACACAGTAGGACCTCAGTATTTGTTGACAGATTAAATTACATCACCTACATTAATATTTTGCATTCATTTATTGCCCTCAGGCAATTGTATATGCATGGAGAAAAAGATTTATTTATTAATCATTAGGTCCCAGGTGCTAAGCATTTACTTAAATGTAATAAATAGTTAAATAATTTACATTTCAAAATCTCTTCAGACATTTATTTATGCTGTGGCTTCTGTAACAGCTTGAACATGTTTTCAGCTTTGAAAATGTATTAATTTGATCTTTATTTCTGTTGAAGAGCCAGTTACAAGATTTCTCTAACATTTAAAAATGGTGTTGATTGAGCAGTATCAGGTGATAACAGGATCACTTACATTTTTCTTAAGAAATGTGATAGACACATCTTTAAGGTCATAGAACAGCATGTGGCAGGCTGGGCATGGTGGCTCATGCCTGTAATCCCAGCACTTTGGGAGGCCAAGGTAGGAGGATCGCTTGAGGGCAGGAGTTTGAGATCAGCCTGGCCAACATGGCAAGACCCCCCATCTCTACAGCCTGAGAGGAGTCTGGGAGGTTGAGGCTGCAGTAAGCCATAATGGCATGCCGACCTGGGCAACAGATTGAGGAAAGAAAAGGAAGGAAGGAAGGAAGGAAGGAAGGAAGGGGGGAAGGGAGGAAGGGAGGGAAAGAAAGAAAGGAAAGAAAGAAGGAAAGAAAGAAAGAAGGAAAGAAAGAAAGAGAGAAATAAAGAAAGAGAGAGAAAGAAAAGAAAGAAAGAAAAAGAAAAAGGAATGAAAGAAAGAAAGAAAGAAGAAAGGAAGGAAAGAAAGAAAGAAGAAAGAAAAAGAAAGGAAGGGATGAAAAAAGGAAGGAAGGAAGGAAAGAAAAAGAAAGAAGGAAAGAGAAAAGAAAAAAAGAAGAAAAAAAGAAAGAGGACGGAGGGAAGGAAAGAAAAAAAGAAAAAAAAGGAAAAAGCCAGGTGTAGTGAGGGAGGGAGACCGACACGGGTGGAAAGAAAAAAGGAAGGAAGAGAGGGAGGGAGGGAGAAAGGGAGGAATGAAGAGGAAGGGAGGAAGGGAAAAAAGAGAAGGAAGGCAGGCAAGCAAGCGTGGGTGCGGTGGTATGAGGGAAGCTGAGGCGGGTGGATCACTTGAGCCCTGGAGACCAGTCTAGCCAACATGGCGAAACCCCGTCTCTATTAAAAATACAAAAATTAGCCCGGAATGGTGGCGCGCGCCTGTAATCTCAGCTACTCGGGAGGCTTAGGTGGGATATTCGCTAGAACGCGTGAGATGGAGGTTGCCAAGAGCCGAGATGGCGCCACTGCACTCCAGCCTGGGCGACTCCGTCTCAAAAAGAAAAGAAAAGAAAGCGGGTGGCATTGCAAACCTGTGAATTCTCGCTAGATGCTAAATTTGGGCTCGCTCTTGGAATTTGAGAGAAGCAAAGCACCAGCCCATTAAGTCAAAAATATAAGGTTTTATTCGTCAAGAATGCCAACAGCAAAGAAGAGAAATGGGTTCTACGAACTGTGAAAGGCAAGGATTGGAACACCGCATACACTAGAAACTTGTGGCCAACTCGATAGTGCTCTGGGTGGGGACAATATTTTTAGAAAGGGGGATGGGGTGGGAGATGAGCGGGTCTTTTCTTTCTTTCTTTTTTTTTCTAGTGAGCCAAGCTCCTGATAGGAGACTTAGTGAGGGTTATACTCCAAGCTCCACCCCTTGGGCCTTAGCAACAGCGAAGGAAGAGGCTGCGATTGGAGGACCAGGTTAGCCCGAGATCCTGCCCCTCCCGCGCCGTGAGGGGGCGGTACACGCGCCCAAGTTCCGAGTGTGGAGCTGTGACACCGAGGAGATGACTTCGCTTCAGAAGCTAACACTTTCTGAAAAAATGCTGACAAATCTTCCCAGTCGGAAAAAGGTTAACTTCCTAGATATGTCTCTAGGTATGTAGATCTCGGATCCCAGTCCCCACTAGTTTGGGCTCGCTGGTCTTGAGCTCAAGACCTCGGCATAGCGCTGACTAGAAGCGGCGTCGGGAGGAACACACCCATTCGAGGAGAGGCTTCCCCCTCAGGGCACCCCCGCACCTCCCCCACCCTGAAAAACCTTGGGACTACTTGGCCCCATCCCTCCTCTTCTCTCCCCCTCACCTCCAGGCCTCTCCTTTCAAGTGGGGAACTCTGACGGAGGCTGACAAAAAGCGCGTAGGGTGTAAGGATTGCTGAAAGGTGCAGGCGGGGAAAATACAAAGACCGCTATTTCCTTGTATTTTACTTTCCGAAGTACTCACCTACTGGCCTCCTTCAAACAGCTGGGGCCAAGTGCTCTTCTCAGTCCAAGCGGATGTCATAAATCACTAGATTCCGGGGCCAGGAGGAGCAAGTCTTAGGCTATTTTACTTGGGATCCCGGTTTGGGCGTGCCAAGAGTTGGTAGGTTGGTGTATCTGCTTTGTTGGCTGGTGGTTATTCGAAGGGGTGGTTGGTGTGTTTGATTGTTGGCTGGTGGTTATTCGCTCTGGATCGCCTTTCTTTGCTGGCTGTCTCTAGTCTCTAACCTCAGACCTCTACACGGAGAGTGGAGCCTTAGAAAAAAATAAATCCTTTATCAAGGCCCCTAACCTCCTCCCTTCGCACCAAACCCAGAAAGAGTGGATTTTACTTGGACCAGTTTCTCTGCTATCATCCATCTTAGAAATGGCGGAGGTAGGGACGGAAGAGACCTTCCAAGCCAGATGGGGAGTGAGAGTCGGATGGGTGTGGTGCCTTACTCCTGTAATCCCAGCTATTTGGGAGGCCGAGGTGGCAGCTCACTTGAGACCAGGAGTTCGAGACCACCTGGCCAACATGGTGAAACCCCATCTCTACTAAAAATACAAAAATTAGGTGGGCATGGTGGTGCGTGCCTGTAGTCCCAGCTATGCGGGAGGCTGAGGCAGAAGAAGTGCTTCAACCCTGGAGGTGGAGACTGCAGTGAGTCGAGATCACGGCACTGCACTCCAGCCTGGGTGCCAGAGTGAGACTCCATCTCAAACAAAAACAAAAACAAAAAAAAGGAATGAAACGAAGAGGGGCGCGGTGGCTCACACCTGTAATCCCCGGAGGAGGAGGTCAGGCTGGTCTAGAACTCCTGACCTCAAGTGAGACGCCCACCTCGGCCTCCCACAGTGCTAGGATTACAGGCTTGAACTACCGCGCCGCCCGACCTAAACTTTCTTTATAGTGTCCTTTGAAGTCCCAAACTTTCAAATTTTGATAAAATACAGTTTATCTGTTTTTTGCTGTTGTTCATGCTTTGGTGTCATATCTAGAAAATCATGAAGATATACTTTTGTTTCCGAGAGTTTTCTAGTTTTAACTCTTAAATTTACATCTTTGATCCATTTTGAGATATGGGGTGAGTTAAGAGCCAACTTCATTCTATCGCATTTTAGCATATAATTGTTCCAACACTACTTGTTAAAAAGACTAATTTTCCTCCCATTGAAAGTTCTTAATTTCAATTGCTTTCTTAATTTCAATTTTGGATAGTTCATTGCTGGTATATATAAATAGAATTAATTTTTGCATATAGCTCTTGTACCTTGCAACCTTGCTGAACGTGTTCATTAGTGCTAATCTCTCTCTCTCTCTCTCTCTCTCTCTCTCTCTCTCTCTCTCTCTCTCGGGGTGTGTGTGTGTCTGTGTATCTTTAGGAATTTCTGCATGCAAGATCATGATATCTGAGAACAGAGATAGTTTTACTTTAATCTACTTGCCTTTTATTTCTTTTTCTTGACTAATTGCTCTGGATAGAATTTCTAGCAAAAAGTTAATTCGATATGGTGAGATTGGACATCCTTGACTTGTTTCTGATCTTAAGGAGAAAACCGTTAATCATCATTTCACCTTTGGTTGGGTTTTTGTAGATGCCCTTATGAGGTTGAGGAATTTACCTGCCTCTCACTTTACCTCTGAGGAGGAATGACCATGAAAAGTAATTAAGTCTTTTTTGTTGTTGTCTTTAAGGTGTTTTTAGCATTCTATTTCAAGATTGGTATCAACAGTCTTTCCTTTCCTAAGACATGGTCCCTGTTCATCCCATACTGCTACTTCCACCCACCCCAACTTCATCACAAGTTCCGAAATATTTTGTGGCGTTAAAATAACTTTAAAAAAATAATAATTTGTCACTGGCCAGGGCTGGGACTAGGGTGAGGTAAATGAGGCACTTGCTTCTAGTATAAAGTTCAAGGAGTCACAAACAATTTGTTAATAGGGGTAATTAATATTTTAATGAAATACTTGAAAAATTAAATGGACAAACTGTAGCCATTTGTCTGGCCACCTGTTTTTGTAAACAAAGTTTTCTTGACCTAAGAACTAGAGTGAAGCAAGTGAAGGAGGGCTGTGCAAGTACAGAGTCTGATCTGACCCTGTTTTTTTTTTAAAATGGGGTCTCACTCTGTCACCCAGGCTAGAGTGCAGTGGCACGATCACAGCTCACTGCACCCTTGACTTCTTGGGCTCAGGCAATCCTCCCACCTCAGCCTCCCAAGTAGTTGGGATACAGGTGTGTGCCACCATGCCCAGCTAATTTTTTGTATTTTTGTAGAGACGGGTTCTCACTATGGTGCCCACATGGGTCTCGGCTTCCGGGCTCCAGAGATCCACCCACCTCGACCTCCCAAAGTGCTAGGATTACAGGTCTGTGCCACCACATCCAGCCTTTGATCCTATCTTTTCAAAAAAACGTTTGATATCTTGTTCATTATGGATTGGTTTTGCATTGATTTTCATTTTTGAAAATATTGTGAGGTCAGGCACCGTGGCTCATGGCACTTTGGGAGGCCAAGGCGGGTGGATCACCTGAGGTCAGGAGTTAGAGACCAGCCTGGTCAACATGGTGAAACCCCATCGCTACTAAAACTACAAAAATTGGCTGGGCGTGGCGGCAGGCCCAGGAGGCGGAGGTTGCAGTGAGCCGAGATTGTGCCTGGGCAACAGAACTAGACGCAGTCTCAGAAAAAAAAAAAAAAGATAAAAAAATGAAAATATTGTGTTAAGATACTTTAATCTTTATTACTGAGCTTTGGGAGACCTCCTTGAATTTTGTACGTGAAGTGAATTCCTCACTTACCTCACCCTAGGCCCTGCCTTGTCACTGTGACCTAGATGGGAGAAAAACCCAGAACTGAAGGAAATTTATAGCACTGAGGTAAAATTTCATCTTCCTGCACTTTGTGTAGATTTCACTGATGTTTTTGCAACTGCCAACAGAAAAGTAAAAGCAAAACTGCTAAATACCTAAAGCAATGGGTTTATCTCAAAATTCAGAGAAATAAGGGCCATAGTTGCAGAGTGGACTGGTCCCAAAAATGTAGTAGTTGTGTGACCTTGTGCAAGTTGCTGTATCTCTTGGGGCCTGAGTTTCCTGATCTGAATAAAATCGACATCATAGAGTTGTTGAAGATTGAATGAGATAATATAGGTAAAGTTCACAAAGTATGGTGCCTGATGTGGAAAAAGCTGAGTAAATATTTGCTATATTTGCCCCAGAAAGTGGGCCTAAATCCACACTTTTGGGTAGCCAGCAATTTGGCAAGCTGGAGAAGTTACCTCAGGATTTTGTTATCAAACTTCAGAGATGTGATAGACTTAGAGAGATTAAAAACCATCCAGGTGAAAGATGGTGTTTAAACAGCTCATGTCAGTTTCTGGGAGACTGAGGGAGATGGTAGTTTGGTGTAACTTGAATAATAGCGAAGTCAACGGACTTAGGAGGCACTTATATTTCAATAAATGGTTACAGCTGGAAGGATCCTGGAGCGTCTGCTTTGGGAAACATTGGTTTAGTTATTTGAAAGGCTGAGGAAAGACGTTGAGTTGCATATGGTAGGTTAGTTGGACTGTAAGATCTCATAGTCATCGAGTTGTAAAAAATCAGGTCACTGCGTCATCCTTTTACACGTTGGTTCTCTATATCCATATTTATACCTTTTTTAGACAGATGAGAATCCCAGTTTTGATCATGTCAGGAATAATGGCAAAACTTTCGACTAGTTATCACAGGCTCTTGCAGTTTATTTTTTTATTTTATTTTTATTTGTTATTTTGAGATAGGGTCTCTGTCGCTGAGGCTGGAGTGCCGTGGCACAATCACGGCTCACTGCAGCCTGGACCTCCCAGGCTCAAGCGAACCTCCACCTTTGCACCAGAGTAGTTGGGACTTTAGGCGTGCGCCACCACACCCGGCTCATTTTTGTATTTTCTTTGGTAGAGACAGAGTTTTGTCATGTTGCCCAGGCTGGTCTCCAACTCCTGGGCTCGAGCTATCCTCTCACCTTGGCCTCCCAAAGTGCTGGGATTTTGTAAGCCACTGAGCCAGGCCAAGGGCCTTGTAGTTTGAAGGCAAGGAAAATACATCATAAACAGCAGCAAATACATGTTACTTTCTATGATGTAATGAGAAAGCCATACTTTTTCCTGATGAATTTCCCCATGTTTTTCTCAGTGAAAATAATACTTTTTAACAATGCATGTCTTTGATTTTAGATAACTAAACATGTGCTTTAGAAAGCAGTATTATATTGGATGCAAGGTTATTACTTCCATTGTAATAACATGCTAAAGTGGGAAAAGGCTCTATAGATTTATTTTTGTTTTTGTCATCAGTAAACATACCCAAAGGTGTTTTTTGTACAAATAAAAAAAAAATTAGAGTCTTTGTTTTTTTACAAATAAAATGCAAAAATAAGACCAAAATTCGAACTAGTAACAGTAAAACTTAATAGGAACTGCACTCCTCTGTTCATTGCATTTACCTAAAAGAGACTGAGGCAAAAGTGCTGTAGTTAGAAAGAAAAGAACTCTTTCTGCCTGCTAGATATATTGGACCATGAAGCCACAAATATGGAATATCCACTCTGTATTCTGTGCTAGGCACTTAGTACACTAATAAATAAA